TTCAGCCATATTATTGGTGTAATTGAAACATAGCCTGGCATTGAAAGGAGTATGACAGCCTTCGGAGATATGATCATAACACCAATTTTATTGTTGAGTGCGTTATAAGCTTTGTCAAAAACCATAGTCCATCGGGATCCTTGTTCAGGTTCGTCATTCGGTCTAAGTTCTTCATAATCATTCATTAACATGATGTCCTCGTGTGGGAATTCAAAATTCATGGATTGATAGTCATCCATGGCCTGATGAGCCAAATAATCAGCTAGTACAATTTATTTTATTGCTTTTGGGTTGTGTATTGAATGTGATATTCAGTCAGGACCATTTTCCATCTTGCTATTCTTCTAGAGAGAGCGGGCTTCTCGAATATGTATTTAATAGGATCCATCTTGAATACCAATAATGTAGTGTGAGTAAGCATATACTGTCTTAACCGGCGAGCAGCCCATGCCAGAGCACAACAAGTTTTCTCGAGTAGTGAATATATGGTTTCACAGTCGGTAAACTTTTTGCTCAGGTAGTATATTGCATGCTCTTTTCGGCCAGACTCGTCATGCTACCCCAACACACACCCCATTGAATTTTCCAATACTGTTAAGTACATGATCAGAGGTCTTACTTCGACTGGAGGCATTTAAATTAGAGTATCTTGAAGATATTCTTTGATTTTGTCAAAGGAGTTCTGGAAGTCGTTATTCCGCTTCACTGCTTAATCTTTCTTCAGTAATTTGAAGATTGGCTCACAAGTAGCAGTCAGATGTGAAATGAATCTGGAAATGTAATTCAGACGTCCCAAGAATCCCCTAACCTCCTTCTTAGTGCTAGGAGTTGGCATTTCTTGTATAGCTTTAACCTTAGCAGGGTCCACTTTAATGCCTTTGCCGCTAACAATGAATCTTAAGAGCTTACCGGATCCTACTCCAAAGGTGCACTTATTCAGATTCCACCTCAGTTTGTACTTTTTCAGCCTTTCAAATAGCTTCTGCAGGTGGTCAAGTGTTCCACTTCAGTCTGAGATCTGGCTATCATATCACCAACATAGACCTCTATCTCGTGATGGATCATATAGTGAAACAGAGCTACCATGGCGCGCTGATAGGTTGCCCCGATGTTCTTTAGCCCAAATGGCATAACTTTGTAACAGAAAGTGCCCCATTGTGTGACGAAGGTCATTTTCTCCATATCTTCAGGTGCCATTTTGATCTGATTGTACCCAGAGAAGCCATCCATGAAGGAAAATAACTTATGTTGTGTAGTGTTATCAACCAGAACATCAATATGGGGAAGCGGGAAGTCATCCTTGGGGCTTGACCTGTTCAGGTCTCTGTAATCCACACACATACGTACCTTACCGTCCTTCTTAGGTACTGGAACAAAATTGACAACCCATTATGGATAAGAGGTGATAGCTAAGAAACCGGCATTGAACTATTTCATGACTTCAGCCTTGATCTTTTCTGACATTTCTGGCCGCATGCGACGAACCTTCTGTTTCACAGGAGGGAAGTCCTCTTTTGTCGGCAGACGATGAACCACGATATCAGTGTCAAGTCCTGGAATGTCTTTGTATGACCAGGCCAAAACCTCGACATAGTCATGTAGCATTTGAACTAACCGCTTTTTGACACTATGCTCCAGATCGGCACCTATCTTGACTTCTTTATTGTCCTCTTCAGTACCCAAGTTAATTGTCTCAACCGGCTCTTCATGAGGCTGTATTTCCTTTTCTTTCTATTGTAAGAGTCTGACAAGTTCTCCTGGTACTTCACAGTCTTCCTCACCTTCATCCTCAGCTTGGTAGATTGGATTTTCAAAGTCATAACTCGCAGTAGCAGAACCGTTATCAATGGGATTCAGAGTGGATGTGGATATGCAGTTTGAGATGTGGGTGTGTGTAAGAGCATAACTATATATTTTTTGATAAAGTAAAGAGACAAAAACGAAAAACAAAGAGCGTAAAATTTGTATGCGAAACGTCCAAGTTTTTATTGGTGACATATGAAAATGAAGTAATGACCCTCACAAATAGACCATTGTGCCTCGGGTAAGACACAAGGCTTTAAAGTTTCAATTGTTCACATATTACATATACTCAAAACAAAAAGAAAAATTGCACTTGAATAAAAGAGATGGGGACAAAATCCTTGGCCTCCCAATTGCTGAGTGCACCGCTGATGGTTGGGAAGATCCATTTGTCCAAGTCATAATCACTATCATTGTCTTCTAGAGCATTGACTCCATGATTGCTGATCCGTAATGGTGGTCCCCCGACGCGAGTACGATGAATAACTTTCTAGGCTCCTGAAGTAAAACCCAAACCAAATTTGTAAGATTTGTAGGGAATATCCGGGAGTTGGCCCCAAATGGTACACCCACCTTCTTCGACTATTGCCTTGGCATCCTTCAAAAAAGCCATCTTCAGTGGAGGTATGGTAATCTTTGGGACTTTGGAAGCAGTCTTGGTTGCAACAACCGTCTGTGGAACCTCTTCAAATTTATGACAGGGGGTCTCAATGAACTCTCCGTCCATTTCAACGTACCTGAAAGAATTCAGGTGGCTCACCATGTATTCCTCTTCCTCATGGACTGTGATAATCTTTCCCTTGACTGAATATTTCAACATCTGATGCAGGGTAGAAGTAACAGCACCAGCCCCATGGATCTAAAGTCGACCTAATAAAAAATAATAGGACGGGCGGATGTCCATCACATAGACGGTGGAATTAAAGGTCTGAGTACCAACTTTGATAGGGATGCCCACCTCTCCGTGCACCATTCTTTTAGAACTGCCGAAGGCCCTCACCATAATGTTACTGGGCTTTAGTGTGAGACCTTCACAATCTAACTTGTCCAGAGCCTTCATGGGTAAGACATTAAATGATGAACCTGTATCCACCAGAACATGGGATAATGTAGTGCCCCTGCACTCAATGGAAACATGTAGGGCATCATTGTGTTTCCTTCCATTGGGAGTTAAATCTGTATCGGAGAATCCCAGACCATTGTCAGCTGTCAAACTAGCCATGCAATTCTTGAATTGATCAGCGAAGGTCTCTTGAGGCACATGGACAGACTTCAGGAATTTTACTAAAGCCTTAGCATGGGATTCAGAGCATAAAAGTAAGGCCAACATTGAGATTTTTAAAGGGATCTGCCCAAATTGCTCCACGATATTATAATCACTTTTCGGGATTATCTTTAAAATCACTTCCATTTCCTTTTTAGAAGCCTCAGGGATGACTTCTTTGTGCGCCTTTGTCTGGACAAGCTCAACCAATATCCCTTTGCCCTGAGTCTCGACCGAACCAGTAGCAGGATAACATTAGGGATAATAATAGGAGTAGCAATGGGAGTATTGACAGGATTAGCAGCATGAATGATCACAGGAGTAGAAACTGTCTTTAGAGAGATCACGGGAGAGAAAACTCTTCCACTCCTCGTAATTTTACTGGTCTCGACGATATTGTCGAAATCAGCATTAGGACCTTCAGCAACTTTGTCTTCAACAACCAATAGGTCTTGCTTGACGCCATGGTAATAGATGTCAACCCCATAATTCCAGGGAACAACTTTATCCGAGGAATACATTATTGGCCCAGGGAGGGTGATGATCAAGGGAGCAAACTTGGGAACAGATGTAATCCTGACGGGTCTTTTGGTGGAGTCCCTGGAAGGATTATCGGAAATGGTGATTATTGAGACATCTTCACATGAGTTTCTTGTAAGGTGAACTTTCTCAAACAGAATTTCTTTGTCAACTATCAGGCGTTGGACGCCCATCTTTAACAACAAACAATTTTCCGATAGAGACATACAAAAGTGGAAACCTTCACCATAACCCGGAAATAAACCGGCTCGCAACAGATTCCTTTTAACAGTTAGAAGAGGAGTGGTTAACTCATCTATAGAAGAAACAAATCAGTCGTCATCGACAGCATTGACACCCTAGCCATGCTTGGGCATTGGCGCAGTTATTACATTAGGTGTTTCTGGAAGGTCAAACTCAATCTCCTTCGCCTCGATAAGATCCTGCACCTTATTTTTCAAAGCCTAACAATCATTTATATCATGCCTCGGGCTTTCAAAATGGTAGGAACATCGAGCATTTGGGTTGTAGAGGGCAGAGGCAATATTAGGATTCTTAGGATCTTCCTTTAGAGTCACTAGTTTGGATTTCAACAGGTGTGGCAAAACCTATGATAATGTCATGTTGATCCGGGTAAACTGACTTCTGGGTGCATCTGGCCTGCGGTGATTGTTTCGTTGTTAGTTTGAGGCAGGATTGGAAATCATAACAGCCCCTACTGTCGGACGACGTTCATTTTTGTTTTGGTTTCTTTGACCATAAGCAGCACTGGCCTCCTTCTTTCCAGTAAATGGTTTCTTCATCGTGCTTGAGGATGCATACCTCTGAATCTTGCCACTCTTAATACCAACTTCTACCCGCTCACCAATTAAGATTAGCTTAGTAAACCCAGCCGAAGAGCTTCCAATCAGATGGTTCAAGAATGGACCAGACAAAGTGCCCAGGAACATATTCACCAGCTCTCTATAAGATAGAGGGGGCTCGACTCTTCACACGAGATCCCTCCATTTCTGGGCATAATTTTTGAAACCTTCGCCAGAACCCATATCCATACTTTGTAGTTGTGTACGAGTTAGAGCAAGGTTAGCATTATACTGGTATTGCTTGTAAAAAGTAGCAGCCAGATCTTACCAATTGTGAATATTAATTCCTTCCAACTGATAGAACCATTCTAACTGGATCCCTGACAAACTTTCCTGGAAGAAATGTACCCACAGATTCCTATCAGTAGTGTGGGGTTGAATCTTCCTGACATATGACCTTAAATGCAGCTTAGGACAGGAGACACCGTCGTACTTAGAAAATATGGGGAACTTGAATTTCTGCGGGATGACCACCCCTGAGACCAGCCCTACTCTTCAAAATCCAGCCCGGGTACCCTTTGGATTTCCATAGCATTGAGACGATCCTCCAGTTATTTGTATTTATCATCAGTAGGAGGATATTGTTCTTTAGAGTAGTCAGCTTCATCTTCCTCAGACTCTGGGATGTCATTTCCTTCCTTGTTCTTTTCTTCATGATTATCTCCTTCACCCGGCGAGGTTGCGAAATCTAGAGCTCGCTTGGCCGGTCCTCTGAACCTCCTTCCCATGTTTAGGACACCTACCGTTTTCTTCATTTTCTTCTTCTTGTCTTTGATCATGAGAGCCTTCAGGTCCTCTTGTCCTTTAGCCAGAGCCTAGAACATCTGTTGGAATTGAGCGTTCTGTGCTTGAAGATTCTTCACTGTTTGTTCAATATCCATCTTACTGAAATACACAGTAGAAAGATAAGGAAAGTTGTTGTGAAAAACCTGTTTGTGTTATGATGCATGAACATGCGTGTGCAAATAATTTCAAGGATTTAGAAAATTTAAATTCGTTTAGACAAATGGGAGAAAGTATCAAATGTATTAATACGTTTAAGTTGATTACAACCATGCCCCTTGGGCTTACAATGGAGGAAAAAACACAAAATAAACTCCTAAGACAAAAGTTGAGCGCATCCTGTTTTCCGCAATGTAAGCAATCAAATTTTGCTCTTCATGAAGCTGTCTTGTAAGCTCCAAAACCTTCTTTTCACTCGCATAGAACTGGGTTTCAAAGGTGTCTCTCTCTTCCTTTAGCTGAATCCAGGCTCTTTGCAAGTCTTCAAGGGAAGTGGGCATATGAGGATGAAGGATAGTATATGGAATATCTCATTCGACAATAGGCTCCATGATGATAGGTAGGATGGACGAGTAAGGAATCATGAGACTTTGAGCACGAGTTCATACCCACTTAAGATAAGGCTCCAAAGGAATGGAGTTCTTATGCCCTAATGTCTTGCTATCCTCCTTGTTTACCATTCTCCAAGCTCGTATGAACCTTTAACGATAGTCTTGATTGTCTCCCTCGTAATCGAATACCAACCCTTGGATAAGTGCATCATGGGGGCCATCTCTTAGTGCGTACCCAAATCATCGTAATGCCAAAAAAGGATTGTAGGTAATACCTCCCCTTATACCAAGCATAGGGACATTAGGGAATTCCCCATAATGGGTGATGATAGTAATGTCCTCCAAGGATCGAGAACACCAATGAATATCAGAATGTGTGAGTGACATCATCCTTTAAGACCATGTCAAGCCTTGCTCATTCTTCAATGTTGATCGAGGTAGGTGCGAAATAAACCACCTAGAGATCAAAGGAATGCAATATAAAAGGGAACCTCTTTTCTTTAGGGTGCGAGTATAGAAACAATGTAGAATGTCTCTGAGCAGGATGGGTACATGATTACGAGAGAGAAAGACCTTGATAGAATTCACATCTACGAGTTGGTCCGGATTTGGAAATAGAACCAAACCATAGATTAGAAGGGCAAAGACATCTTCAAAAGCTTGAAAGTCCATATCCTCCCAGAAAGAATGAGCCTTCTCCAACAGAAACTTGGCTAAGAAACCCTTAACTCCACTTCTTGTCTCCCAATTTGTTATGACATCAGATCTCTTCAAATGCAAGGATTCGGAAATAACTTCAGGCTTTGGAGTCTCCTCTAAACCGGTGAATGGTATTTGGTCGAGCACAGGAACTCCTAACAGTTGAGAGAATTCTTCTAATGTAGGCACCAATTGGTAGTCAGGAAAGTTAAAGCAATGATGCATGGGATCAAAGAATTGGAAGAGCACACACATCATTTCTTCTTGGAAATTTGAAGTAGCTAAGTTGAGAAGTCAAACATATTTCTTGGTGAAAGGAGAATCTCCAGGCACCCTTGATGCTAACTCTTGAAGTTGAGGATGTACTTTCACGAAGATAACTCGGATGGTATCCCTACGAGTAGAAGTACTGACCTACAAAACAGAACAAAGATAAATTCCTAAATCCTTGAAATGGTTAGCGAGAATGCTTTATGTTGTTATGATGTTTATGATTACATGAATAATAATCACAAGGAAAGCACACAAAAAGCCTTAGGTTTAGGCTTGCATGGGTTTCATAGGTAAGTACCCTCTTGAAGTTTAGTTGGCTCAACGTGTCCTAGAAAGTAAACGGGTTCAAGGGGATCTCAATATCACTGACCTTTATTTTAGGCATGGTATCAGCATAATCAATCTTTTCTTGCGGCTGAAATATTCCAAAAGTCTGATCTCAATGAGTGCAGCATCGAGTATCAACCAATTTTCAGCTTTCCACCAAAGCTGGCTATCTCACTACTTCCTAATGGCCAAGTCATTCAATTAAGGTTATAAGGTCAGTTAGTGCTTCATGACACCGCTCAGCGGCCCCGTATTCTCCTCGATTCAACACAAGGGATATCGTTACCAACAAATGTTTCACAGTAACGTAGACATTGTTTCAACCATATCGGTCTACGCCGTACAGTTTCCACAATCTATTGCTACTTACCTAAAAGGTGCCCCAGATCCAGGTAGAGGATCAAAACAAGCCAAAACAAGAAACCATAAGGTAACCCCTAAGGTAACTGCACTTTTAAGTTAAATTCCCCAACAGAGTCGCCAGTTCTATAACACGGTGGGAGAACTGACTAGGGTGTTTTGCGTTTGATCGCAATTGTTGCGGACAGCAAGAGTCTCCACCAACTTTTCTTTTATGCAATATGGAAAGGGTGAAAATAATAGGAAAGACCTTTGAGATTATTTTCTTGAGTTCTGGGGGTAGGTTATGAAAAGGGAAGGTGATATCACCCTTTTCATCCGTAGTTATCTACGAGCTCTTAGTTTCTTTCTAGATTAACTTCTTTGTTTGAAAGTGTGCTTTGTGGTGGTGTGATACGGTGGCAGAACCGGACTGTTTTGAGAAAAATGCTAGTTTGCATTTTGCGTTTGTGTTTGCAAAATATCGCGGTAAACAAGAGTCGCCACTGACTTTTATTTTATCCAACTGAAAAGGAAGAAAAGCACAGAAAAATTCCATTTTCGAGATTTTGAGTACGAGGGGTAGATTATAGAAAGGGAAGGTATTAGCACCCTTTCTATCAGTAGTTTTCTACGGGCTCTTAGGTACTTACTCATTGTTTTAAAAATTGCTTCCGTGTTTGTGGTTTTAGAAATTTTTTTATTTTACTTCGTTTTAACCCTTGTATCAGTCCTCAAGAATGTTACGAAGTGTTTTTGAAAACTTTGTTTTAAAAAGTGTAAGTGTGAAAAAAGTTTGATTTTGAGCAAGTACCTACTAGCATCTACCTACTCGAAAAAAGAATGTTTCTGTTCTTGTTTCCTTTAGACAATGCTATCCCACTATTAGTGAGTAGGTAGCACCGTCGTTGGAGTTGTAAGGGTCAATTCGAAAGGGACGTATGATCACTAAAGCAATGTTAGGATGTCTTAGTAATAACCCTAGTGTCTTAAGATCATATTCGAGGCAACATTTTCGAGGCAACCTTTCCGAGGCAACATTTCCGAACAGGACATTTGATCTTTATTTAGACAAGAGGGTAACCACTAAGACACCCTATACTTAATGATCGTTTACCGAAGGAAACCGAAGTGAGAGTATACACTAGAAGTGCGCATGTTCGAGTGATTCGATTTCAAGTTATTATCTTTGCACATTTAGGGTTTGCTAACCATTTTAAAATTAACATACAGTCTTGTCATGCAATCCTATTATCATACATCTAACAATTAATATTTGAGAGAAATAAAATGCGGAAAATAAAACTACGCTATTACAAGGCTTCGGGGAGGGGGATTAATTACATAGCCAAAAACCCGTAAAACGATAAATAAAAGACAAGTCCTAATTAAACTATAACATACCATGGGAAGTTACATTAATATCGAAAAAAATAGTAAACAAGCGCGATGAATTAAGAACGAGAAAAACTTATGGTTTTGACCCCGTCTAAACCTAATTGCAAGAAAAAATCATTTTTTGTTGTTTTTGATTATTTTGAGAAAATAAGGTTTTAATTGAATAAATACAAACCTAATTACTAATTAATTTAAATTAAGAAAAATAATTAATTTGATCTATTTTTGTATTTTTGTTATTTTATGAAGAGAAAATAAAAATAAAAATTAAGAACAAAACCTAATTTTCTAATTGATTTTAAATTACTTACAAAAAAGTTAGAATTACCCTACAATTAAATTTAACTAATTATTAAATTAAATTTGATGAAAATAATACCTAAATCTAAATTTGTGAAAATTGATTTTATGAGTTTGTAAAAAAAAGAAATTAATTTTATGTTAGAAAATAAACAAAAGAAATTAAATAAAAGGAAAAAAAATATAAAAGGAAAAGAGATGGGCCTGGTGCTTTGAGCAAAAGAGGGGGTGTCAATTGCATTTTATGAGCCCAACACTCCTTGGCCCACGTTGACTTTCCAGATCCTGTACGTTTGCTTGACTAGGGTGCATTGTGGACCTCTAAAGGATGGCCCTTGGATCTAGCTTGTTGGTGCCTGGATGATGAGATATTGATGATGCAAGGTGGATGTCCTGGAGGCTTGTACACCTGATCATGTAAAAGAAAATAGTATTGAACAAATATGGGGACCTGGGAATCGAACCCAGGCCCTTTGGCAATTTCCCTTGTACACTGACCATCTGAGCTAGCGCGCTTTATTGTATATGGAACAACAATCAATTATTATATTGGAAAAACAAAATAATATATTTCAAAACGCGCAAATTTTGAATAGGCGAATCAGGGAGTGCCACGCCACCCTTCTTCTTCCTTTCTCTGTTGGTAAAAGGTCTGACTTTTACCTACAGTTTTCTGGTCGTAGGTACAACCCTGTGATCCTCCAAAAATCTATGCACGCATGATAAATCAATACCAGTGGTACCAATTAAATTGTTGCAACCTCACGAGCATCATGGTACCACTTTCCATGGCCAATTGTACCTGTAATGAAAAACCCCAAAAACGAGCCAAGAACCCTAACTATGGCATCTTGCTCTACAGTTAATAAAAATGCAATTGAATGTTACCATTATCTTGAAAATGTTTTAAGGATTCAGAATATATAAACAAATCATGCTAAGAGTTCCAGGATTATGATATGCAATTTCAAAAAAGCATGGAGGTCGTGGGATACTTACAGCGCGTATTTGGGCACGAAAATTCTTGCTAATGATTGGGATAGAGTCCTTAGATGTCCAACAAGCGAATGGTGTGCTTGGAATGGGTTGAAGAAGCCTGGAATTGAGAAATCAGATTGCAACTTTCCTTTGAAATTTTGAGATTTGTTCTTCTCTTTTCACGCCTCCAATCCCCTCCTTTTTGATCTGCACTTGTCCTATATGTACCCTAGAATGAATTAGGTTACAAACTTGCTTAAAATCTTTCTCAATTAAGATGATTGAATCATGATTTGATTCTTATGTAAATCTTTCCAAATCAAGCCAAATCCAATCTTTTTGTGTCCAAATGAAGCTTGCACGATTTGATTCTCTTTCCAGCTATATAAGAGACCTAAACATGCACAAAATCTCAAGCTTTGATTAGTTTTGATATTCTCATGATTTTATTTTGATTTTATTTAATTTAATTGAAATAAAAATCAAAATAAATGATAAAAATAAAATGAAGACAAGTGGGAAGGATCATGAGTCCTGGATCATGTTACAAACTCAATACAAGCACAAAAAGTTGGGCCTATTTGACAAAAATTGTAATTTGAGACACATTTGTCTTTTGGCAATTTTGCAAAAAGGGTCAACTTCACCAATGCGTAACTCCTTCAATTTTGACCCTAGAGATGTGTTCTTTGACTTTTTAGAAAGCTTAAGATGTCCTCTAAGCAACAATTTTGGTATCATCTTAATTGAGTCTTCCATGTTCATGTATGAAGCTTTGCCAAAAAAGGTGTTTTTGTTGACTTTTCAAAATGACATATAAAGTCAAAATTTATATCTTCTTGTGAGTGCATATTTTGAACTTGGGAGATACATATGAATTGTATGGGATTGAATCCTATTCAAAATGAGCTTTGGATGGGTCATTTTTGATAAAGTATGAGAAAGTTATGCTTGGTAAAAGTTGAGTTGACTTTTCTTGCAAAACCCTAATTTAGCAACTTTTGGGTTTTGATGAATTGTGAGAAATCCTTGAGAAATCATGATCAAACCTTTATCAAATGATGAATAATACTTAAAAATGAGGATGTTGACCAAAAATCTTGAAGTTTGACTATATGCAGGACACAGTTGACTTTTGCCCTAGCACAGTCGATTTTAAGGCTTTTGAGCAATTGACTGAGCAAACTTTCTCTGCAAGGCTTGAAACTTGACATGGATGATCTTGAAAACATATTAGGACAATGGTGAGAATTTGGGATCCTTTGGACTCAGGCATCTTGATGCAAACTGAAACCCTAATTTGAGGTAGACTGCCTTAGGAGGGGGTTTGTCTGGTCAACCCTTGGACTTTCTTGAGCAATTTGAGGACCCCACTTGAAATGTATTGAGAAATATGGGAGGGGAAATTTTGGGGTACAACAGGTTCCCCCTGTTCAATCTTCTTAAACCTGAGGATATAGATAGGCTTTCTTGCCTTTCGTGATCTGAAGGTGGTAGATGATTGAACACTAGAGTGCCCAGAAATTTGCACTCGCATGAGGTGGTACTTGTCTTGTGATGTCGAGAATGGGCTTATAGATTCCATTTGGAGATTGATGACGGAGGATGGGCTTAAAGATGCTGTGATACGGTGGAAGAACTGACTGTTTTGGAAATGCTGGTTTGTGTTTTGCGTTTGTTTTTGCAAAATGTCGCGGTAAGCAAGAGTCGCCACCGACATTTATTTTATCCAACAAGGAAAGGAAAAAAGCACAGAAAAATTCCTTTTTCGAGATATTTCTGAGTACAGGGGGTAGATTATAGAAAGGGAAGGTATTAGCACCCTTTCTATCCGTAGTTATCTACGGGCTCTTAGGTACTTGCTCATCATTTTCAAAATTATTTTCTTTGTGTTTGTGGATTTTGAAAAGTTTTTGTTTTAACTTCAATTTAACTCTTGCTTCTGTCTTCAAGAGTGTAATGAAGTGTGTTTGAAAACTTTGTTGTAAAAGAGTGTAAGTGTGAAAAAGTTTTGTTTTGATTGAGCAAGTACTTAAGAACTAATCTACCTACTAGAAAAAGGAATCGTTCTATGTTTGTTTCCTTTAGACAATGCTATCCCACTATTAGTGAGTAGGTAGCATCGTCGTCGGAGTTTGAGGGTCAATTCGAAAGAGGGACGTACGGTCACTAAAGCAACGTTAGGATGTCTTAGTAGTAACCCTAATGTCTTAGATCATCTATCCGAGGCAACAGTATGCGAGGCAACCATTCTGAGGCAACTATGATCTTTTAGACAATAGGGGAACCTCTAAAACAACCTATACTCAATGACCATTACCGAAGGAAACCAAGTGGGGGTGTACCCTAGGAGTGCGCATGTGCGAGTGTGTTGATTTCAGATTATTTATCTTTGCACATGTTTAGGGTGATCTAACTGTTCTAAGATTAAACATTCATTCTTGTCATGCAATCCCTAATTATTCACATATCTAGCAGTTAAATAATTTGCAGAATTAAAATGCGGAATTTAAACTAAACTATTACAAGGCTTAGGGTATTTACATAGCCAAAAACAAACCCTTTGAAATTTAAAAACGGTAAAAATAAATAAATGTCCTAATTTAATTATTACAAACCGGGAGCAGATACAATAATTGGATAAAAATGAAGCGCGCGAGAAAATTAGATCGAATGCGAAAACTAGGGTTTTGACCCTCCTAATTAAAAGAAAATGTTTTTTATTTTATTTTTAATATTTTCTAAGAAAAGAAATTAAGTCCTTGAATTAAAATGCAAAATTAATTGGTTATTAAATAAATTAATGAACAATAATTAAATGACATATTTTTGGTTTTTTTGTTATTTTAGGAAAAAAATAAAATGATTAAATTAGTAAAAAAAACCTATTGATTCTAATTGATTTTAATTATTTACAAAAGAATTAAAGTTGTCTAAATTAATCAAACCTAATTAATTTAATTAATACTTATTGATGAAAAATAAAAATTCTTATTTTCATTGGGCATAAAATATTTTTTGGTGATTTTTTGATAAAAAGAAAATTGTTTTTGGTTAGTAAATAAATATATAAATAATTAAATGAAAATATAAACAAAAATATAAAAGAGAGGGTTGAGCCTGAATTAAGCATTTCTGGGAGGTGTAGAAAGTAGATTCCTGGGCCCAAAAGGAGAAGGTCCACGCTGACTTTTGCCATCCAGTGTTGTATATTTGACTTGGCTTATGGTGTACTTTCAATGGTGGCCACCAGATTTTGCCACCTGGCCATCTGGCGCGTTGGTGATGAAGGAGTATGATGGACATCCTAGTTCAAGCGCGCATTGGATCCTGAAAAGAAAATTTTTATAGAGAATTTGGGGGGACCTGGGATTCGAACCCAGGCCCCAAGGGGAATTTCATGCCACGCTTACCACTAGACCATTGGCTTCTATTTGTATACATAATAGAAAATAATAATAACATATGAAAACAAAGCGTTAGTGGGATTTTTTGCGCGAAATTCAAACAGGCCAGTAGGGGAGTGACAACTCATCGTCTCCTTCCTCTCTCCGTGGCTAAAAGCTTAAGGACCTATACCCACGGACAATGTCCGTCACTGTAACCATGCCAATCTCCAAAATCACGTACAAGTAATATAAATGAACACCAAGGCCATGGTTAGAACTGTCTCCTTCTTCTGAACACAACCATACCCATTACAATGGCCAATTGTCCCTGAAATTGAAATCCCTAAAACCAAGCTCGAAAACCTAGCAATGGTGATTAACGCTACATGCCATATAAACGAAATTGAGTAATACAGAAAGTTTGCAAATGTTATAGTGATCAAGAATGTACAATTATTTCAACCTAACAATGCATAAATCGTGAGTTTCGAATTCGAGAACAGGGGTGTAACGTGAATGACTTACAGTGCGATTAGGGACCGGAACGGGCTTGTTCTTGATAGCTTTAGGTTCCTGAGAGTGCTAGGAAACGATTGGAATCGGTCACGAGCCTTGAGAATGCCTCTAAGTGGGATTTTGATCTCACACTTTTTCCTTAATTTTTCAGTTTTTGTTCTCCTTCTCACGCCTCTTTCTCACTCTTTTTTAGGTCTGGCCTCATTCCTTATGTATGACTGAAGGCATTAGGTTTGATAATTGCATCCAAATCCTTCTCCATCAATGATTTTGGATTTGATTTGATTTGCTTTGAAAATCTTTCCAAACATGGCCTTTTTTCAATCTTTTTGTTCTCTCTAATGCTTTGCACGAATTTGAATGATGCTAGCTGTAATTGGAACCTGAAACAAGCACAAATCCCTTGTTATCAATGCTTTGGATTTTTATTTGATTTAAATTAAATTAATTCAAATAAAAATCAAAATAAATAATAAAAATAAGATATGGACAAGTGGCAAGTTCTAGAGCACTTGGGCTATGTTGCCAACTCAAAACAAGTGAAAAAGATTGGACCCATTTGGCAAAATTTGAAGTTTTTAGGGATAGTTGACTTTTGGCAATTTTGCAAAAAAGGCCAAATTTGATAATGCATAACTCCCTCAATTTTGACTCTTTGGAGGTGGTCTTGGACATTTTAGAAATCTTGATATGTCCTATAAGCAACCCTTTTGGTATCATCTCATTTTAATATTCCATGCTCATGTATGAATCTTTGACAAAAAAGGTGTTTTTGTTGATTTTTCAAAATGACCTATAATGTCCAAATTCATAACTTCTTGTGAGTGCATATTTTGAACTTGGGAGATGAATATTGATTGTATGGAATTGCATCCTCTTCAAAATGAGCTTTGGATGAGTAATTTCGCATAAAGTATGAGAAAGTTATGCTTGGTCAAAGTTGGGTTGACTTTTCCTACAAAACCCTAATTTAGCAACTTTTGAGTCTTGATGAATTATGAGCAATCCTTGATGAATCATGATCAACCCTTTATCAAATGATGAAATATATTTAAAAATGAGAATGTTGACCAAAAATCTTGAAGTTTGACTGTATGTGGGTCATAGTTGACTTTTGCCCTAACACAATCGATTTTTGGGCCTTTTGAGCAATTGACTGAGCAAACTTCCTCTACAAGGCTTGAAACTTGACATGGATGATCTTGAGAACATATTAGGACATTGGGAGCACTTGGTATTACTTGTACTCAAGGATCTTTATGCAACATAAAACCCTAGTTTGGGGTAGACTGCCTTAGGAGAAAGCTTGTCTGCCAACCCTTGGACTACCTTGAGCAACTTGGGGATCTTTCTTGCAATGTTTTGAGAAATATGGGAGGGCAAATTTTGGGGTACAATAGATGCCCCTGTTCAATTTTATTAAACCTGGGGATGTAGATTGGCTTTCGTTCCTTTCGTGATCCGAAGGTAGAAGAGGATTGAACACTAGAGTGCCCAGAAATTTGCACTCGCATGAAGTGATAATTGTCTTGTGATGTCAGGAATGGGCTTACAGATGCCATTTGGAGATTGCTGACGGGAGATGGGCTTAAAGATGCCATCCGAAGGAGTATCGATCGCATAAGGGATTCCTTAGCGAGAGCTTGTATGCCTGTTGTTGAGGAAGATTCCGATGGGGAAATCTGATCTTTGTTGAGAGAAGTAGAATTTTAGGAGCTTCTGTTGTCCGTTATTCTGCTGGTGAGTCGTCTTTGTTCATATTTAGGAATTTTGGTCGTCCGTACTCAACTGAGAAGCCGTCTCTGTTGATATTTAAGAACTTCGATCTTCCGTACTCAACTGAGGAAACATCTCTGTTGATATTTAGGAACTTCGACCGTCCGTACTCAACTGAGGAAACATCTTTATTGAAATTTAGGAACTTTGATCGTCCGTACTCAACCGAGGAATCATCTCTGCTGATATTTAGGAACTTCGATTGTCCGTACTCAACTGAGGAAATATTTTTGCTGAGATTTAGGAACTCGTCCGTAATTCAACTGAGGAAACATCTCTGTCAAGATTTAGGAACTTGCCCGTAATTCAACTGAGGAAACATCTCTGCTGAGATTTAGGAACTTGTCCATAATTCAACTGAGGAAACTTCTCTGCTGAGATTTAGGAACTCATCCGTAATTCAACAGAGGATACATATCTGCTGAGATTTAGGAACTCGTCCGTAATTCAACTGAGGAAATATCTCTGTCAAGATTTAGGAACTCGTCCGTAATTCAATTGAGGTAACATCTCTGCTGATATTTAGGAACTCGTCCGTAATTCAACTGAGGAACATCTCTGCTGAGATTTAGGAACTCGTCTGTAATTCAATTGAGGAAACATCTCTGTCAAGATTTAGGAACTCGTCCGTAATTCAACTGAGGTAACATCTCTGCTGAGATTTAGGAACTCGTCCGTAATTCAACTGAGGAAACATCTCTGCTGAGATTTAGGAACTCGTCCGTAATTCAATTGAGGAAACATCTCTTTCAAGATTTAGGAACTTGCCCGTAATTCAACTGAGGAAACATCTCTGCTGAGATTTAGTAACTCGTCCGTAATTCAACTGAGGAAACATTTCTGTCAAGATTTAGGAACTCGTCCGTAATTCAACTGAGGAAACATCTCTGCTGAGATTTAGGAACTCGTCCGTAATTCAATTGAGGAAACATCTCTGTCAAGATTTAGGAACTCGTCCGTAATTCAACTGAGGAAACATCTCTACTGAGATTTAGGAACTCGTCTATAATTCAACTGAGGAAACATCTCTGCTGAGATT